GGGGGTGGGGTGGTTCCAAGTGGGCACTTCCCCTGTTCTTTGTGTAACGCTTTGGTGGTTGCAGCATTAAACCTAAGCTGGTAAGAATAAGCTTGGGGGGGGGGGTCTTTCATGCAGGTCCCCACGTCCATACCCTAGGATTCAGAGTGGAGAAGGAACCTTGACGGGGAAAAGTCTCTAGTTGTGTGTGGGAAGAAGCATATACTATATGTTCTGATTTGACTGGGTGCTGATTTTATCTTGCATGGTTGTACAATAATATGATCGTGTGCGATGTAAAATCTTATACCTTGGAGCTGTACTCTTGTCTGTTTTGTGTGATTTACTGCTTAGAGAAGAAAGCTTGAAAGAACTTCTTGGAAATAAGCATCAACGTTACTGTAATCTCAAAAAATGAACATAGATATTAGATAATCCAAAATGGGATGTTGATTGAGTTGCTGTTTAATCTTTTTAGTGCTAAATAGTTATGCAACTTTTGTCAGGGCTTGCATCCGGTATTTTCAGGCAATTAATGACTTCAGTCTCCCATCTTGTATTGGACAGTGCATGTGCTTGTGAATTGATGTATATCTGCCAACATCAGTAGGGGCAAAACACACACTCTTTGGAGGCACCAGAATATAATGCAAACAGACTTTTGTTCAATCCCTAAATCTCTTAGAAATTTGCTCTCACAAAGTTATAAAATAAGTGTTTGGAGATTGTGCAGAACAAAAGTAAATATGTGTGTAAACAATCCCAGTGAGTGAATAAGAAGAATATTCATAGTTACATAAACTATGCTGGCAGGGACTACTAATTCACAAATTTCAGTCATAAACCGCTCGCTATGTAGGGCAGAAAAGAATGGTCCTAGTGCTTCACAGGGAACTAAAGCATCAGGAGGGGCTCATGCTTTGAGGCAGAATGGACTTTTGCGCTGTTCCATTGTAGCAAATATTCTGAAGTTGATTAAAAATGCATTTCTTCATATGAATGTAGATTCATTTACTATTATACTGTTGAATTGATAAGGATTTATGGGCATTCTTATGAAATACGTAGAATTCATCTTAAAAGGTGTTCAGTTTTCTGTATATATCCACCTATTATCCTGAATCAGTTTGTTTTTCAGACTTCAGCTATTACCACTGTCCACGTCTGTTATCTCTCTACTGCAGACAATAAGGAAAGACCTACAGAATAGATTGTACCTCAGTGGAGCCGTGCAACTCATATTGTACCCTTTTGGCCATAAGTGAAGTCCATGACTTGACTAAGCTTTAGTATGGATTTTGACTCGCTGAAGAGAGAGATTTCAGAGTAACAGCCGTGTTAGTCTGTATTCGCAAAAAGAAAAGGAGTACTTGTGGCACCTTAGAGACTAACCAATTTATTTGAGCATAAGCTTTCGTGAGCTACAGCTCACTTCATCGAGTCAGTCTCTGAAAGAGCAATGGTTCAGTTGGATTATCTGTTTAAGGGGAGCTGAATAAAGCAAACATTCTGAAATTAAACAGAGCAGTTACTGTGAAACCTAGAATTATTATTGTCTTCTATTCATATCTCATTGCTAGATGGTTAGTATCTAATTGGTTCAGATCCTGGCGACTGGTTAATTCGTGGATTAGTAGTCCATACCAGTATAGCTCGTATAACTATAAATACTATACTGGTTTGAACTAAGGAGAATTTCTTACTGCACAATCAAAAACAATTGAGAAATATATTGACCATGAGATCCTTTTTTTCTGTGCTGCTGTACAGAAGATTAGTAGATTTGGGATTTTTCTTTGTTTCATCAAGCCCTTGGGGGGCAATAAATCTGCAAAATGACCATGCCTGGTTTTAGTAGTGGGGGCCTTGTCACAGTTTACAATCCAGAGTAGCCTTACTGAAACTGATAGAGCTAGGTAGTTATCAGCTGCCTTTAAAAAGTATCTCATCTTGATGAACAGCTGATGAATTTACAATCCCATATAAGACAATTACGGGAAACACACACACACACACACACTCTCTCCAATGCAAGGAAAAAAGGCTTTCAATGTGCCTTTTTTCTAGCTGAGCAATTCTGTTTCCAAAGTAAGTGGTGCAAATTCTTTTAAATGATCCTTAACTCATGTTTTGGTAGCTGAATGCAGGTAAACAATTTAAAGAACTGGAAATGTAATTAAGATGAACTTCTCCTTGAAAGGCTTTTCTAGCATTTCTTTATACTAATTGGACATGAATGAATAAGTTGGCTAAAACAACAAATATAAAAGAAACTAGCTTGGATTCACAGTGTGGAGTGCTTAGGCATGTTTCTGAAGATGTCTGGAGACTCCACAGTTCAGGCACCTGTTGTCACAGATAAATGTTAATGGATTGGGGCCCGGGAGGGGTTGAAGTAACTGTTTACTGACAGCGCACAGAAACTTCAAGTAACAAGATGACCTGACCAGGCATTCTCTTACGCAACAGCTGAAGGCATGGCAAAGAGAGATTTTTTGATTAGCTAGAGTAGTTCAGATTTAGGAGAATGAATGACTAAGTTGTTTAGGGAGAAGGAGTGTCAGTTTTTAAGTGTTGGTGCTTGGGTAACAGATTTTTTAAAATTGTATTTTTTAGTAACCCTAAACAAAAGTAATGCAGAAATGTGTTTATATAAAGTGCTATTGCATGTCCAGATAATCCTGGAATATGATTGAGTAGTGCTTCAGGTGCTAATGGTGCTTCGTTTTATTTGCTTCCTTGGTTTGTAACAAACTGTGTGTGTGTGTGTGCGTGTGCGCACGCTCCACCACCCTCTACTATATGGAATATCGCATCTTCTCGTGTTTGTTTTCCTCTCTACACCTCCCCCCACCACCACCACTGTCTGAACTAGTGCAGCCTATCCTTACCTGACTGAAAAGAGGTCCTGAGTTCTTCCGTTTCCAAATATCTTTTACCCAATGTGTGTGGTTAGCTGACATCTGTGGTGTATTTATTTGTAGGCAGCCATAATTTATTAGTTCTTTCGCACCAGAATCCTCTGATTATTTTTGTCAGGAATGTGCTTAGCAGTGTAAAGAGTGTTTGTCAGTTAACAGCTGCTTTCAGAGCCTGCACGGAGGTACACACGTATTGTTTTAGAGTATCGCTTTTTTAAAAAAAAAAATGAAAAGTAGTATCTTAAAATACGTATCTTTATAGAATTCAGATGACACATCCATGCCCACCTTCTTCCCCAAAGCCACCTCATAATAAGCATTGTAAGGTAAAGTGGAGCTTTGGAGCTCTACCTCTTGTCAGTGTGTCTTTGAATACTTTTAGTGCAGTTATCGAGCATGCACAGTGGTCTTGTTTTTTGTAGTCACTAGAATAGATAGTATCTTTTTATTTATCTCATATGGGAAAAGAGATCATGTGTCTAAAAGATATACATTACTATACTGTATTTCAGCAAGACCAGTACAAGGTGAGAAGAATAGGTGACAGCAGTTATCAACTATTCGCTTGAGGCCATAATGGTGTTATGACCATATAGCAAGTTTTGAAACTTTGTAAAAATAGATTGTGGTCCAGCTCCTGTACATGCAGATTAACAGGAAGCTTAACAAAAAAAGCATCATTTTCTCTGCCTCCTTTTTAAACACAGGTTTATTATATTGCACAATCCATTATAAATGTAGGCGTTCGTACTTTTGGAAACTTGAAAAATGGAAGTGGGGAAAGTATATTCTGTTTAATGGATTCAGTGGCATTTCTCTATTTGTTTTTGTAATGTGCTAACTTCTGAATGTTAAATCTGATCAAGTCCAAAATTTCAGGGACTGTCCTAGGAATCATTGGGTAGAACCCTATTTTAGTGAAAATATATTTAAAAAAAAAAAAAAGGAAACCAAATGAGAGTAATGAGGGGTACACAGTGCCCCAGGCATCTGGTTAGCGCACACAGCACTTCAGCTATCTTTGTAATTGTCTGTAGGTCAAAGATGGCAACAATTAACATCTTCCAGCGTAATACCCTCCAGCTCAGCTTAGCTTTACTCAGCCTCCTAATACAGTTAAAAAAATATTGACACTCTGAATGACTTCTCTCCGAGCCAGAAAGTGGGGTGGGGGAAAAAGAACGATGGGGGAAGAAGGGAATGGGGAAGCTCAAAGAGCCCTTGGCATGATTGAGGGAGAAATGGGGGGCGCGGCCATGGGAGAAACGGGGGGTAAACAGAAACAAAACCTCTGGCAGTGGGAGAGAATGGAGAGCCCTGCTGTGGGGGGCCTGGGGTACATACTGAGTGGGCAGGGGAAAGAAGATGGGAATGGGGGGCAGAATACAGAACCCGTGATGGTGGAACAATGGGGGACCCTGGTGTAGAGGGAAAGAGCGGTATGAAGGAGCACCCAGAGAGCTGCAATTGGGGGAAGCGTGAGGGACAATTATATGGGCGATGGCGGCCATGAGGGGGACAGAGTGCCCCCGGTGTGGGGGAAGGGGAGGCGCACAGGGTCCCTGGCATGAGGGTGGAGGTTGCAAGGAGTCCCTGAAATAGAAGTAGATGGTAGGGTGGCATACAGAGAGGTGGGGGATGGGGGGGGGCAAAGAGCCCCTGGTGTGTGTAGTGTGCTCAGCCTACAGAAGCAACAAAGTGTGTAACATTCTAGTAAATTATATTCTAAAACAGAGTTGCTTTTGGATGTCAGGTATTGCTTAGGAGTTACAGAAAATAAACCAGAAGACATTATTCTCCATTTGCTATGGAGTAAGGTAAGCTTACATCATCCAAGGAGTGTCAAAGCCATGTAAACTGTGCTGCTGACTGAAGTGCCTTAAAGCGCAAAGATTAATTTCTTCTGCATCTTTGACAAGCAGATGCTTTGTAAATTTTTGAAAAAAAATTTTTTGCTAAAGGGCTGAAAGTGTCAGAATAATTATGTGCCATAGAAAAGCATTGGAAATGGGTGCTACTCCTGAATTTGCTTCTTGACACGTTTAGTGGAGAATTGTTTACTCTGAGCAAAAGTGTTAGGTTTTTTTCCTTGTTTTGCAGTGAGGAGAGCTACAATGTCACAGATTATTCCTTGAGGGACCAGCTGTTGGTTGAACAATGTGACAGTGAGGAGCTGAATTCCTCACCTGTAAAGAACAGTTCCACGATGTTGTACTCGCGGCAGAGCTCTACAAGTCACCTCTTCAGATTAACTGTCCTTAGCAACCATGCAGGAGAGAAGGTGGAGATGCTACTGGGGACTGAGACTCAGTAAGTAGATGACTAAAAACTTCTCCAATTCTCCTTCCTTCTCCTCCCATTTGAGGCATTTTTCTTTTATCTAAGGTGCTGGAGCTTCTTCAATTCTACTCTGTTTTGTTCAGCAAGTCTAAAAAACATAGCAGAGTCCCCATACAGCATCTTCATGAGAGGCCTAAACTGTAGTGGTCAAAGTAACAAAACAAAACGGAACTGCTGTCAAATCCAGATATCTCTCTGGACAGTGTAAGGGTATGTGTACACTACAAAATTAGGTCGAATTTATAGAACTCGGGTTTTTTTGAAATCGGTTTTATATATTCGAGTGTGTGTGTCCCCACAGAAAATGCTCTAAGTGCATTAACTCGGCGGAGTGCTTCCACAGTACCAAGGCTAGAGTCGACTTCCGGAGCGTTGCACTGCAGGTAGTTATCCCACAGTTCCTGCAGTCTCCGCTGTCCATTGGAATTCTGGGTTGAGATCCCAATGCCTGATGGGGCTAAAACATTGTCGTGGGTGGTTCTGGGTGCATATCGTCAGGTCCCCATTCCCTCCCTCCCTCCATGAAAGCAAGGGCAGACAATTGTTTCGTGCCTTTTTTTCCTGAGTTACCTGTGCAGACGCCATACCACGGCAAGCATGGAGCCCGCTCAGGTAACTGTCACTGTATGTCTCCTGGGTGCTGGCAGACGCGGTATGGCATTGCTACACAGCAGCATCAACCCATTGCCTTGTGGCAGCAGACAGTACAGTACGACTGGTAGCCGTCATCGTCATGTCCGCGGTGCTCCTGGCCACGTTGGCCAGGAGCGCCTGGGCAAACATGGGCGCAGGGACTAAAGTTGGAGTGACTTGATCAGGTCATTCTCTTTAGTCCTGCAGTCAGTCCTATTGAACCATCTTATGATGAGCAGGCAGGCGATACAGATTGCTAGCAGTCCTACTGCACCGTCCTCTGCCAAGCAGCCATGAGATGTGGATGGCTTGCAGTCCTTCTGCACCGTCTGCTACCAGCCAAAGATGTAAAAGATAGATGGAGTGGATCAAAACAAGAAATAGACCAGTTTTGTTTTGTACTCATTTGCTTCCCCCCCGTCCCCCATCTAGGGGACTCATTCCTCTAGGTCACACTGCAGTCACTCACAGAAAAGGTGCAGCGAGGTAAATCTAGCCATGTATCAATATGAGGCCAGACCAACCTGCTTGTTCCAATAAGAACAGTTACTCATTGATGTAAAGCCACCCCCTTCGTTGATTTTAATTCCCTGAAGCCAACCCTGTAAGCCATGTCGTCAGTCGCCCCTGCCTCCGTCAGAGCAATGGCAGACAATCGTTCTGCGCCTTTTTTCTGTGCGGACGCCATACCAAGGCAAGCATGGAGGCCGCTCAGCTCACTTTGGCAATTAGGAGCACATTCAACATCACACGCATTATCCAGCAGTATATGCGGCACCAGACCCTGGCAGAGTGATACCGGGCGAGTAGGCGACGTCAGTGCGGTCGCGTGAGTGATCAGGACATGGACGCAGATTTCTCTGAAAGCATGGGCCCTGCCAATGCATGCATCATGGTGCTAATGGGGCAGGTTCATGCTGTGGAACGCCGATTCTGGGCTCGGGAAACAAGCACAGACTTGTGGGACCTCATAGTGTTGCAGGTCTGGGACGATTCCCAGGGGCTGCGAAACTTTCACATGCATAAGGGCACTTTCATGGAACTTTGTGACTTGCTTTCCCCGGCCCTAAGGCGCCAGAATACCAAGATGAGAGCAGCCCTCACAGTTGAGAAGCGAGTGGCAATAGCCCTGTGGAAGCTTGCAACGCCAGACAGCTACCGGTCAGTTGGGAATCAATTTGGAGTGGGCAAATCTACTGTTGGGGCTGCTGTGATGCAAGTAGCCCACGCAATCAAAGATCTGCTGATATCAAGGGTAGTGACCCTGGGAAATGTGCAGGTCATAGTGGATGGCTTTGCTGCAATGGGATTCCCTAACTGTGGTGGGGCCATAGACGGAACCCATATTCCTATCTTGGCACCGGAGCACCAAGCCGCCGAGTACATAAACCGCAAGGGGTACTTTTCAATAGTGCTGCAAGCTCTGGTGGATCACAAGGGACGTTTCACCAACATCAACGTGGGATGGCCGGGAAAGGTGCATGATGCTCGCATCTTCAGGAACTCTGGTCTGTTTCAAAAGCTGCAGGAAGGGACTTTCTTCCCAGACCAGAAAATAACTGTTGGTGATGTTAAAATGCCTATATGTATCCTTGGGGACCCAGCCTACCCCTTAATGCCTTGGCTCATGAAGCCATACACAGGCAGCCTGGACAGTAGTCAGGAGCTGTTCAACTACAGGCTGAGCAAGTGCAGAATGGTGGTAGAATGTGCATTTGGACGTTTAAAGGCGCGCTGGCGCAGTTTACTGACTCGCTTAGACCTCAGCGAAACCAATATTCCCCACTGTTATTACTGCTTGCTGTGTGCTCCACAATATCTGAGAGTTCTCTTTGTTTCTCCTTGATGAAACCCCCCTCCCCTTGGTTCACTCTACTTCCCTGTAAGCTAACCACCCTCCCCTCCTCCCTTCGATCACCGCTTGCAGAGGCAATAAAGTCATTGTTGCTTCACATTCATGCATTCTTTGTTCATTCATCGCACAAATAGGGGGATGACTACCAAGGTAGCCCAGGAGGGGTGGTGGAGGAGGGAAGGAAAATGCCACACAGCACTTTAAGCACAGCACTTTAAAAGTTTACAACTTTAAAATTTATTGAATGCCAGCCTTCTTTTTTTTGGGCAATCCTCTGTGGTGGAGTGGCTGGTTGGCCGGTGGCCCTCCCACCGCGTTCTTGGGCGTCTGGGTGTGGAGGCTATGGAACTTGGGGAGGAGGGCGGTTGGTTACACAGGGGCTGTAGTGGCAGTCTGTGCTCCAGCTGCCTTTGCTGCAGCTCAACCATACATTGGAGCATACTGGTTTGGTCCTCCAGCAGCCTCAGCATTGAATCCTGCCTCCTCTCATCACGCTGCCACCACACTTGAGCTTCAGCCCTGTCTTCAGCCCGCCACTTACTCTCTTCAGCCCGCCACCTCTCCTCCTGGTCATTTTGTGCTTTCCTGCACTCTGACATTATTTGCCTCCACGCATTCGTCTGTGCTCTGTCAGTGTGGAGGACAGCATGAGCTCAGAGAACATTTCATCACGAGTGTGTTTTTTTTTCTTTGTAATCTTCACTAGCCTCTGGGAAGGAGAAGATCCTGTGATCATTGAAGCACATGCAGCTGGTGGAAGAAATAAAAGGGACAGCGGTATTTAAAAAGACACATTTTATAAAACAGTGGCTACACTCTTTCAGGGTAAACCTTGCTGTTAACATTACATACATAGCACATGTGCTTTCGTTACAAGGTCGCATTTTGCCTCCCCCCACCGCGTGGCTACCCCCTCAACCCTCCCCGTGGCTAACAGCGGGGAACATTTCTGTTCAGCCACAGGCAATGGGCTCCTCTGAGTGTCCCCTGAAGAAAAGCACGCTATTTCAACCAGGTGACCATGAATGATATCTCACTCTCCTGAGGATAACACAGAGAGATAAAGAACGGATGTTGTTTGAACGCCAGCAAACATATACTGCAATGCTTTGTTGTACAGTGATTCCCGAGTACGTGTTAGTGGCCTGGAGTGGTAAAGTGTCCTACCATGAAGGACGCAATAAGGCTGCCCTCCCCAGAAACCTTTTGCAAAGGCTTTGGGAGTACATCCAGGAGAGCCACGAATGCCAGGGCAAATTAATCCTTTCACATGCTTGCTTTTAAACCATGTATAGTATTTTAAAAGGTACACTCACCGGAGGTCCCTTCTCCGCCTGCCGGGTCCAGGAGGCAGCCTTGGGTGGGTTCGGGGGGTACTGACTCCAGGTCCAGGGTGAGAAACAATTCCTGGCTGTCGGGAAAACCGTTTTCTCCGCTTGCTTGCTGTGAGCTATCTACAACCTCCTCCTCATCATCATCTTCTTCGTTCCCAAAACCTGCTTCCTTCTTGCCTCCATCTCCATTGAAGGAGTCAAACAACACGGCTGGGGTAGTGGTGGCTGAACCCCCTAAAATGGCGTGCAGCTCATCAAAGAAGCGGCATGTTTGGGGCTCTGATCCGGAGCGGCCGTTTGCCTCTCTGGTTTTCTGGTAGGCTTTCCTCAGCTCCTTAAGTTTCACGCGGCACTGCTTCGGGTCCCTGTTATGGCCTCTGTCCTTCATGCCCTGGGAGATTTTGACAAAGGTTTTGGCATTTCGAAAACTGGAACGGAGTTCTGATAGCACGGATTCCTCTCCCCATACAGCGATCAGATCCCGTATCTCCCGTTCGGTCCATGCTGGAGCTCTTTTGCGATTCTGGAACTCCATCATGGTCACCTCTGCTGATGAGCTCTGCATGGTCACCTGCAGCTTGCCACGCTGGCCAAACAGGAAATGAGATGCAAAAGTTTGCAGTTCTTTTCCTGTCTACCTGGCCAGTGCATCTGAGTTGAGAGTGCTGTCCAGAGCGGTCACAATGGAGCACTCTGGGATAGCTCCCGGAGGCCAATACCATCGAATTGTGTCCACAGTACCCCAAATTCGACACAGCAAGGCTAATCCACTTGTCAGGGGTGGAATAAGGAAATCGATTTTAAGAGCCCTTTAAGCTGAAATAAAGGGCTTCATCATGTGGACGGGTGCAGGTTTACGTCGATTTAACGCTGCTAAATTCGACCTAAAGTCCTAGTGTAGACCAGGGCTGAGCCATTACACTAACTGCACTGGATAGTAGGGCTGGGCCAGAAGCTGTTTTACCATCCTGTGAAAAAATTTGTGATTTCAAAAATTCCTCATTCTACATTGAGGTTTTTTTTGTGAAGAGATTGAGACCCACAGCAGAATAGCACGTAGTCTGAATCAGGCAGAGCAGGAACTTGAATCTGCTTTTCCCACATCCCAGGTGAGTGCCTAACCATTGGGCTATCGACTATTATAGGAT